TTTCCATGCCAAGGATCATGTTCTTAGGTGCAATACTGTGCTGTGAACAGTCTATCCTCTCTTTCTGGAAGGAAACCCAGCCTTCAAACTGCCATGAATGTGTTCCCAAGTGTCATTGGCACTGCCCTATGAAGACAGATGCTTACAGTTAACTTCCCACCCTTTTCATTCAGCCAAAGGGCACCCATTCAGTAGAAACATGGTCAGGCCCTATGCTAGGTTGGCTAGTGGGTGACAGGGCTGGAATTCAAACCCACAGCCTCTGGCTGCAAAACCCCCGTTTTTTTTTACCATTGCAATACCTCCTGTTAAGGTGGTGCTAAAAGATCAGAAGAAAGCAGTGTGCTATGGAATTCCACAGCCAGAACAATGTGGCTAAGTGCCGGCTGTGACCCACACGGGGAGGGGAGCGTACAAGCTGAGGAAGGTGAGAAGCCTGTTGAACCTCCCCGCTCTCCACAATGGGGCGGAGGTGTTGATAGTGCTTTTTCCCTCTTAAATCATGTTCTCATGGAGGAGATGAGCTATGTTTTTATTTCAAAGAGCTACAAGATAACCTGGGGAATGAAATAGAGGGCTGCTGTTTTATACTTTATTTATACTCTTCCTAAGAACTTGTTTAGAAGACTCACCTGCCCTCTATTCACAGCAGGACTTTCTGCTCAAAGAAAGCATCTGCAGGATTTTCTCACTAGGAGGAGCCTTGTTCCAATCCCTAGAAGCAAGCAGGCACCTGCCCTACCCCGCACATGGTAGTGTAGTGTGCAGAAGGCTTTGGCGGGCTGCCAGTTTTATGGTGCCTGCGCCTTCTGAATGTGAGGTGGGAGGCTGGGGTTTTGCACAGAGGTAGTCTTTTGCACTCGCCTCACATTTTTCCTTTTCTCCCAAGTCTTTGCAATGGACAGATTCTTAGCGGGATCTCGGCTGTGGCAAATCAACAACTTATTTCGCTCTTTGCACTACATCTATGAAGATTTCATCCTGGCCTAGCTTTCCTGGGTATTTCAGGATTTCTCATAGTCTATGTGCTCCCCTAAGTCCTTCTCCTGGTATGGAGGTCACATAAGAGCTTTGACTCCTATGATGAGTGGAAACCATATTTTTCCCTGCCTCTTGGTGCTGGGAAGGGTTGGGCTTGAGTAACCTTTAGTGAGGTGGGAAGGGCCAGCGCTATGGAATCCCTAAGAATGCTGGCACTGGCAACCACAAAAAGGAATGCCCAAAGGACAGGTTGTGTTGTCACGTCACCTCTCCATTTCTTTTTGAAGGGGAACCTGCCTTCAGAGCCTTTCTCTATGGCTTTTTAAAAATTATTAAATGTATTGGGGTGGCATTGGTCAATAAAATTATATAGGTTTCAAGTGTAAAATTTGAGAATACATCATCTGTATATTGTATGGTGTGCTTGCCACCCAAAGTCAAATCCTCTTCTGTCATCATATATTTGACTCCCTTTACTCTTTACGTAAAGATTAAAGGAGGCAAAAACATGTAAAAAGAGGAGACAATACTGCAACTTGGAAATGAGCTCACGGCATAAATAGGAATAATTTGTGACAATAAACACATAACAGGGGAGGGGTATAGGTCTCTCGGGCTTTTCAATGAAAGGCCATAAAGCACCACACAAGCAGAGTTTCAATTGCTCCTCCCATGGGTGTGCTCAGGAAGGTGCAGTCACTATTTCCACTTTCCAGGTGAGAAGCAGGTCCAGAGAGGCTCAGTAGCTCACCTGAGGTCATAGCCAGTGTGTTAGATCAGGGTTCAAGTTCAGTTCTGATACCCAGAGCCTTGCCCACTGCACTGCAAGATGCTTTGCTCCAGTGAGAGATTTTGAGGTGAAGAGACCCCTGAGGCATTTCCCCTGTATTGCTCCTCAGTGTGACAAGAGGAGGGGTGGGGGGAGGGGGGAGCTGTGGTTTGAATGGAGGTGAAATAAATGTGCTAAGACTTTCCTTGTACAAAAACAGGAAGCTCCTTCCCAGGAATGGGTCAGATATTTACTAGTAGAGATAGAGGGGACCTAAACGATCACATGGCATCATATCGTTTTGTAGTTCTGACTAATGGGGAAATCACACACTAGAAAAGTTAAAAGCCTTCCCCAGACCATGGTGCTGGACACCCCACAGACTGGGAAACTCCCCACCTCCCTGTCCAGTGCTTGTTCTCTGAGAATACAAGAACGGAAGATCAGATGACAGCATGTTTTGGAAATCAAGGAAAGGCGGAATCGCTGCGGGCTGGAGCCCTGCTGGAGCAGGGTAAATGCCTATGCTTAAGAAGCTCATCCCACCTGGGGTGGCGCTGGCGGGTAAGGGGAGGGGCAACACCAGATGCGGGTTGTTGGAGAATCCTGGCTCTCTCATTTTCAAATCCTCATACCGCTCTGGAACCCTGCAGGTCCATTCACCACTTTAAAATTCATTTTAAATCCTCTATTATTTATTTTAAGTTCTTCAACGTGTCTGGAAAGAGATGTCATTGGCAATGACTTTGGGAGGGAGAAGACCTTTGACCAGGCCTTTATTCCTTGCCCCCTCAGGCCACCAGGGGCAGTGACACCAATGTTGGCTCACCGCGCAGGATTAGAATGGGGACTGCAGGTACTGATTGCATATCCTAAGAGCCGAGGCGCTCCCTGAAACACCTATCAGTGTTGCAATGCCTTAAATCAGCGATGTTTACCCACCGTGGCAGGCACACTGGTGGGCAGCAAGAATTTTTAAAACATGCGTACCTGATTCTGTAGTCAAAGGCACTGACTTCCCTTACATTGTCAAATACAAAATAGCAACAGCCAACACAACAATAGCCATGTGGTGTGAATGAGTCAAAATTATACCTATTTCTTTTTTCAGATTGGCAAAAAAATATATTTTCCGGTTCGTTGCAGAATTTTAATAATTAGTTTATGTGTGCCATGAGATGAAAAAGGTTGAAAATTGCTGCCTTAAATCATTCCTGGGAAAAGATAGGAGAAAGAGAAGATAAAAAAATCATACTCTTTT